GAGGCAGGAGAGGCACAGGTAGAGGAGGAGGCAGAGGAGGCACAGAGGCAGAGAGGCAGAGGCAGAGGAGACAGAGGCAGAGGCAGAGGCAGAGGCAGAGGCAGAGGCAGAGAGACAGAGAGAGAGGCAGAAAGAGAGGCAGAGAGGCAGAGAGAGAGAGGCAGAGAGAGAGGCAGAGAGAGGCAGATAGGCAGAGGCAGAGGCAGAGACAGAGGAGGCAGAAGCAGAGGCAGAGGCAGAGGCAGAGGCAGAGTCGCAGAGAGGCAGAGAGGCAGAGAGAGGCAGAGAGGCAGAGAAGGCAGGGGCAGAGGGGCAGAGGAACAGAGGCAGGGGGCAGAGGCAGAGGGGCAGGGGGCAGAGGCAGGAGGCAGGAGGCAGGAGGCAGGAGGCAGGAGGCAGGAGGCAGAGGCAGGTAGATCTCTGAGTGTAAGGCTAGCCTGGTCTACAGAGCAAGTTCCAGGACAGCCAGAGCTATACAGAGAAATTTGTTCTCAATCCCCACCCTGCCACCTTCAAATTAAAATAAAAAAGTTCTGCCTAGAACCAGCAAATGATGTGTGAGGTGGGTTTTGGATGTTAAGTGACCTCCACACAGGTGAAGGAGAAATCCAAGCTCATCACTCTCTGTAACAATTGCTTGCTGAGGGAATCTGCTGAGTAGTTGTAATGAAATGGCTCTTCTGGGAAGAGCTTTGAGACTGGGAATCACATCTTTTCACCACTTTGCTTTAAAACCCGCTGGTGGAGGAGTGAAGGTTTCTCTTGTTTTTATTTTTACTGTAGTAAAATTTAAAAAACCCATATAAATTGCCATTATAAAAAGTATATATTTTAATTAGATTATTATATGCAATTTCATGCATATATAATATACTTTGACATTATTCACCTCTATTGTTTTGATAAAAGATTTCATTATGTAGCCCAGGCTAGCCTCAAATGTCTGTACCTTCTATCTCAGCCTCCTGAGCCCGGGAGTGTTAAGCATGCTGACATTGTCATATAGCCCTTGGCGTTGTGCTCTCCTCATCCCACCTCCTTGTCCCCCTTCTCTTCCCCTCTTTCCTGTTCCCCCTCCCCAATCCCCTACTCTGCTCCCCCTACCCTCCAGCTCCTCCTTTCTCCAGAGCCTGGCAACCTTTCAAGCTCTGTGTCTCCATGGATTTGGGGCCACTGGAGACCTCCTGTGAATGGAGACGTTATGTGACTTTTCGTGACTAGCTGGCTTGTGTCTAGTACATGGCCCTCAAGGGTCCTGCCAGTTACTTTTTTGTTGCTGTGATAAAATACTATGGCTAAAAACAACTTAAGGGAGAAGGGGTTTATTTTAACTCATGGTTTCAAAGGGATATTGCCCTTGTGACCAGGGTGGCATAGCATGGTGTCAGGGGCAAGAAGCTGGCTGATCACATTTTAACCAGGGAGATATGGGGAGGGAGGGAAGGGGGAGCTGGAGAAGAAGACAGAAAGAGAGAGAGAGAGAGAGAGAGAGAGAGAGAGAGAGAGAGAGACAGAGAGACAGAGAGACAGAGAGACAGACAGAGAGAAACACAGAGACAGAGAAAGAGATAGGAACACAGAGAGAGAGACAGACAGAAAAACACAGAGAAACAGAAAGAGACAGAGATAGAGAGTCAGAAAGAGACAGAGAGTCAGAGAGAGAGAGAGAGAGAGAGAGACAGACAGACAGACAGACAGAAAGAGATGGAGAAACAAACAGAGAGACAAAGACAGAGAAACAGACACA